TTTTGGTTTTAGTCCCCAATTCTTTCCTATCGCTCTTTTACAGGCCCATAGGCATTTGAGGGCTTTACTTGTCACGTTTTGAACGTGTTTAGTCCATGACAGTTTATGGTCCAAAGTGACTCCAAGGTGTTTTACTTCCTTACTCAGTGTCAATTGGATACCATTAATTTCCGGCATTTTAATAACTACCTTCTTCTTCTTAGTGAAGATACACACATAGATTTTCCTAGGGTTGATGCTTAGTCCATTAATCCTGCACCAATTCCTAAGAATATTAGACACAGTACTGAGGATATCAGAGAGGACACTCTGATGCCTCCCTCCTATGAGGATGGCAATATCGTCAGCATATCCCTGAGCATAAATGCCTGCAGTGTTTAAGGCTTCCAATAATGAGTCAGCCACAAAGCACCACAGTAGCGGAGAGAGCACACCTCCCTGTGGACATCCACCACGGGGTTTAATCCACAGTTCCTTGTGCCCTATTTCTGATTTTAGAACTCTGTCCTCCAGCATTCTCCCAATCCATCTGGAGGTCATAACATCTTATGTTTTTTTTCCTTAGCGCATCATTTATGATGTTGTAAGGAGTTCTATCAAAGACACCCTCGATATCAACGAAGACACCTATCATGATTTCACTCTGTTCTAAGGATTTCTCTATTCTTGTTACCAAGTTATGAAGCGCCATCTCACAGGATTTTCCTGGTTGGTAGGCATATTGCTTTGAATGTATTGATTGGACTAATAGCCAATATATGTTCCCTAATATGTCTGTCCAGTATCTATTCCAATGTCTTCATTAAGAAAGATGACAGACATATTGGCCTAAATGCCTTGGGGTGTTCATAAGATTCCTTTCCTGGTTTAGGAATGTATCGCACTTTGGATATCCTCCATTTACATGGTAGATATCCCAGTGCTAGGCTACCTCTTAGAAGTTCCAGAAGGTATGGCCTTATCTCTGGGAGACCCTTCTGCAGCAGTGCTGGAAAGATCTCGTCAGTTCCAGCAGATTTGAAAGGAGAGAATGAATTCATTGCCCATTCAAGTCTACTGTTTGTTATCACTCTTCTTGCCGGACCCTACATACGTGCACCAGTTCCACGATCCTGTGTATTGGGGTCAAGAGGTTCATTTACTGTCGTAAAAAAATTTGGGAAATGAGCTTTTGCTACCACACTCAATGTTTCTATCTCATTCTTGGTGTGTTTATCATCATATTTGAGTGTTCCCATTATACCTGTATTGGTTTGTTTTGACAGTATTTTGTTTACCTTACATACCACCGGCATGTTGTCCACCTCCAGACAAAACCTTTTCCAGGCTTTTCTTTTGGCTTTCCTGACAGATTTGTGATACTCAGTAAGAGATTTCCTATAGGTATCCCAATTTCCAGATTTTTTAGCAGCATTGAACAATCTCCTCATGAGTGTTCTTTGCTTTGTTAGACTATCATTCCACCAGGACACTTTCCTGTTGGTTGTAGTTTTTTTGACTTCGTTACTGGCCAGATATGCTCTAGTCATAGCATCAGTAATTGAAGTATTTAAACATTCTAGTTGCCATGTATTGTGGATAACTTTGGGGCAGCATTTAATAGCCTCCTCCAAGTTAGAACTATAGGACACCCAGTTTGTTCGTTTGGGGTCTCTATATTCCACATCATGTTGTATTCTGTCAGATATATCGAATCTGATATACCTGTGATCCGAGCATGTTTCTTCATCAGAGACATGCCAGTTATCTATAAGGACACTAGCCAATCGAGTCGCTAGTGTTATGTCTATGATCTCAGTCCTAATTCTATTAACAAAATGTAGGCTTGTTCCCCCTTTTCAGAATATCAAGATCATATTTAATAATAGTCTCTAAGAGTTTCTCACCTCTTGAGTTGGTGTTTGTGCTTCCCCAGATCTCGTTGTGTGCATTAGCATCCAGGGCAGCCACAATTTTCTCCTTGCTCTTTAGTAATTCATCCATTCCTTCTGCAGGTTCTGGATTTTCATATGGCAGATAGACCGCCGCTATGATTAATGATCTATTATACCCTTGTTGGGTATATTTAGCTGCTGCAAGATCTCTAGAACAGAATTGCCATAGAGGCAGCAGTTTTAGTTTGTCTTTAAAAAGAAGGCAGGCTTTAGGATATGTGGGTGCAGATATTATTCCATACTCATACATATTAAGTCCTTTGATCTTGCCTTCATATAGGTAAGGTTCAAGAATTAATATTATATCAATATCATTACCTTTTATATACTGTTGCAAATGCAGTGGTGGATGTTGATCTGCAGCAGTTTCATATATTTTTATTGATTGTTTATTTTCTGGAAGGTGGTTTTCCAGACGGGGCCGATGGTAGGGTTCCTCCATCAGACTCAGTTTTCACTTTGTCTTTTGGTTTCTCCCCGCCTCTCGACCTCGCTTTCGAACCCCCACCAGTGATAGATGAGTGCTGCGAGACAGAGATCTGGCCACAAGACCGCGACAGTGGCTGGGATTCGCCTCTGTAACCAGTTTTCACTGGTTCCTTTGGCTTAGCCCCGCCTCCTGACCCGCCCGACGGCCTTGACCCCGTCCTCGAAGCACTCCTTCCCGAAGAGGAAGATTCCTTGTTCTCCCTCTCCTTAGATGTGCCTGCTTTCGGCGCCTCCTCTTTCATTTCCTCCGGAGCAGGCTTACTTCCTGATGCCAAGAACCTGAAGGTGATAACATATATCCCACAGCAGGCCTGCATTCCATGTTCAGTGAGGCTCTGGAGGCTGGTCTCTGGTATGTTGAATACTCCAAAGGATCCTCTTTCCAGAGCCTTGAAGTTAAACACGGTCTAGGTTTTGATCCCAGTAATGGATTGGTTTTGAATCTGGAGCCGGTTTAAATAATAATCAGCAGGTAGGGCCTTTCCTGGAAAGAAGGCTCCACTCCTGATAATTTTAGTTAGATCACCTGCTTCACAAGTTCGTAGGGATAATCCTTCCTTAATTGTGATGCTCGGTGTTATGTTTTTAAACCATTCCACTGTATGGCTATCTAGGCAGGATACAAGACATCCTCCAAGCTTAAAAAGCGCCCCGTCGAACTTTGGATGTATGTCTCCCCTATTGTGAGTTCGTCAATTTTACTGGAGATTGCTTCCTTAAGAGCTTCGCATTGGTCATAGGTAAGCAGGATCTGCGGGTAGTCGACAGGAACTACCGCGACCCACTGTCCTTGTGCAACCTTTGCGTAGTTTCTATGCCTATCAGCCTCCCTCGGTTTCTTAGCTTCTATAGCTGAGGCTCCTAGGGAGTTCCTGGCTCTTTTTTCCACAGGCAGTCTTGATCTAGACCTCAACCTTTGAGGCCTCGCACTCTTAGCTGCTGGCCTACGTGGCCTCGTAAACTTAGATGCTGGCCTCTTGGGTGTGTCCTTCTCACCCCCTGTCTGTGATATTGGAGCTTTTCCCTCCGGCGCGGTAGCTTCGTTCGCCAGGCCTTTTGGGGCCCTTGCATCCTCCACTGCCTGCCTTTGAGTAGGCTCCAATTCGCTAGATGTTTGCCCCTGATCTAAGGTCTCCCTTTCACGACTCTCCGCCTTGTCCGCCAGGCCTTTTGGGGCCCTTGCTTCCTCGGCAGAGTTCTCTAAAGGTGGCCTTTTCTCTTCTTCTGGGCTTAATAGTTGTTGGGCCTTTGCCCTCCTCCTATTGCGCCTCTTCGCATTCCTTATCGTCCTCCACGTGGCAGGCCTCGAGTCTTCCGACTCGTGGTCCCCGCACCCCGTGTGGTCGAGTCCAGAATGCGATTGGCTGCTAACCATTTCTGGCTTGTTACATTCACCCACGTCCATCTTTTCTTCCGGGGCCTGCACCATTGCACAAGCCACCTCCATCAATTCCTTCTCCTTTAAGTCTGTTTGGACGTGGAGTGTTCCAACATCCTCTGTTAGGGTTTTCAATAGTTCCCCTACCAGAGATTCATCTATCTTATCTGAGGTAACTTCTGATAAGTTTAAAAGCTCCTCGGAGGACAAGTCCTCCTCGGATATCGACGATTTACTGTTTTTTTTTATTTTTAAATTTGGACATTTTGGTTCCCACGAGTATGGGGGTCAATGGAACTGCAGGTACTACCCCCTCTCCCTGCAGCCGGCTACTTAAAATGGGGTGTCGCCCGGTTCCCCAAGTGAGCCGATAAAATACAGTATATTTTTACCCACCCTCTGCCACTCGGCCTCAACTCGTGCGCCCTGACCTAGCTTGGGTGCCTAACAGGTTCCTCAGTTCCATCACACATGTATCATCCGCATACATATGGATGGAACCAACGAACCCTGCCTCTGTCGTCCGCGAGTCCCATCGGACTCCCCGGGGGCGCCACATGGAGGTGACAGTAGGCGTTGATAGGGATAAGGAGATCTGGGAACTCAAAGCAGTGGGTAGGGCACTTCACTCGATCATTCCGCAAAGAGTTGGGGAGATTCCCGCACCTATCTCCCTCTCTAGATCTCCCGTCACCCTATCCATTAGCCCCCCAGCGAAAAGGTTAATCATCATCCTATCTTACTGATTTTGAACCTGTCATTAGTCCTTCCAGTTGGACATTGGCAATCTAACAGTCAGTATGCTCATTCAAATGATATTTACTCAGTAAAGAAGCTCTATGTACCTATTCATTATGTACCATTACCATTAAAGTTACAATGTTTTAAAGTTTTATATTGATGATCAACATCTCAGATGTTGTAAATGCAAATTTTATAGTTTTGAATAAAAATAAAAAAGTTAAGATTTGATCGTATCCTGTAATTCCTTATTTATTAATTCTCTTTGATTTGTATATATTTGGCTGGTTTGATGTTGTTATTATACTAGTTTCAAATAGAGATTAGTGATGTAATGACTGATTTGGCACTTAAATGTCTTTCAAGTCGACCGTCTATGTACTTCATATAGTTTATTTTAATAATTGTACCTGCATTGCTGCAGATTCATGTTTATTGAGATACTTTCCACATTCCAGATTGTTATATCGCCTCCAGTGATCACATACATTGTAATGGACTGGGTTAATACTGATGTTAATAAATTAAATAAGTTTATTAACGCAGAAGAGGGTAAATATTTTATTTATTCACTACTCAAGCAATTTTTTTTTTAATTTTTAGAATAATTGTTTTATCAATTCTCCTTTCTTTTAAAAGGTTTCATAGAAAGCAAATAATCATAGTGTTGATGAATCACCTCATATGGTTCCTGTAGGTGATTTTTTTATGCTTCTATGCTCCTGTGATTATACAATGATCGTTACAAATTTTATTCCTGTAAAATTTCAAATTTTATTAAAAACAATGTTTAAATATTTAGGTATTACTGTTGACATGCCTTTTCTTTGAAATCATATTTTTTTTTTGTAAAAATATCAATCTATTAATATATATATTTCAGTATTGTTGATTAGGACTACACTTTATTTGTAATGATAAAAAAATATATTGAATCCAGATATACCTACTTTATTCTTACTTTACGTTCAACATTGTAACCCTTCCGCCATTTTCAAGGGAAGAAATCTTATCTTAATATAAAAAAAGTCTGGTAAGGTGCGCGAATCGCACAACTTTCACTTACCAACCTTACAGTAGATAGGTATTTCCTTATATAGGGAAGTCAAAGTGGAAAGGACACTACAACATCATTTAAAATAATTAATTATCATGTTTTTCCTGTCCATCGAATCTGTTAACTTTATACGTTTGCATCACTTTCCATTTCTTTTTACGACTGTGTATATTACCAAACAATATTAATGTTTTTGGGAATGATCTGTAAAGGGAGAGGATCGGTAAAGGCCCTCTTGGCTGTTTCTGTATTGCACCAAACTCCTTTAGTATTTCTCCTTTAGTTACTAATAAATTTTCTTCATTCATTATATTTAACCATTTTTTATATCAGTTAACAATGTGAAATGGTTAATTATTTCAAATAAAAAAAATTAAAGGTGGTTATTTGGACTCAGGGGACCTCAAAACAGATATTTCCGTTTAAAACTCAAATTTGAAAATTTCCATGATCGCAATATATTACCTATATATGTAATATACTACCTATATATATATATATATATATATATATATATATATATATATATATATATATATATATATAGGTAGTATATTACATATATAGGTAGTATATATATTGTGACGTTCTCAAAAGCCACGCTAGTTGGGCGCCATGTTGTGACGTTCCCTTTGTCAACATAAATCAAACAACGAGTTTACTTTTTCAATGTATTATTTATTTTAACACATAACATCAATTCTCAGGTTGGGTTCTGACAACTGAACACTCATTCAACATTTAATAACTATAATTTACTAATTACTAAATACATATAAAGAAACGAGATACATACATTAAGAAATTATACATTCAAAAACCTTGATTGTCCCAGTCTAAACTTTGTGGCTCTTTCTATTTTCTCAACTTGCTGGCTAGTACCTTCTCTCTTGACAGCTTGTCACATTTTCTCTTGGCGGCTCATAACCTCCTCTCTTGGCCGCTATCACCTTCTCTCCTGGCGGCCCGTCACCTTCTGAGTTACATGAGGCTTGCTTCCCCCACTTCCTTCCTGTAGTTCGCGCCATCACCACCTTTGCGCCACTATCCAAATGCCATGTAACAATATATATATATTGTAACGTTCTCAAAAGCCACACTAGTTGGACGCCATGTTGTTACGTTCCCTTTGTCAACATAAATCAAACAAACGAGTTTACTTTTTGAATATACTATTTATTTTAACACATAACATCAATTCTCAGGTTGGGTTCTGACAACTGAACACTCATTCAACAATTAATAACTACAGTGTACACTAATTTACTAATTACTAACTACACTTATTTATAATTCAAAATATTTTATAAAATAATTTGTCCCGGTCTAAACTTTTGGTTCTATCCCTCTATCAACATAAATGGCATTGTTAGCACTCACCCAAATGTTTACGCCTGCCAGCGAAATAATCTCTTCTTACTTATGAATGTCCCGTTTTCTGTACCACTTAATTATTTTCTGCTAAGTTGTTTTCTTCCAACATAAAATAATCTTCACTAGTGGCCTCTATCAACACTCGAACCAGCTAGGACTTCTTTTTCTATTTTCTCAACTTGCTGGCTGGCACCTTCTCACTTGGCAGCTCGTCACCTTCCCTCTTGGCAGCTTGTCACATTCCCTTGGCGGCTCATAACCTTCTCTTTTGGCCGCTATCACCTTCTCTCCTGGCGGCCCGTCACATTCTCAGTTACATGAGGCTTGCTTCCCCCACTTCCTCACGCACTTTTTCCCCGCACTTTCGCGCCACTATTTAAATGCCATGTTATGTTGACATTACAATATATATATATATATATATATATATATATATATATATATATATATATATATATATATATGCAATACATTACCTATATATGTAATATATATCCCATACTATATATTACATATATAGGTAGGTGAAATTAAAGAAATCATATAGGATAAATTGCCCTTCTCACAATATTTAATTCACTATTTATTTATTTTTTATTTTGTTATAGTTATACACAATTAAGCATTGTGATATGGGCAATTTAGCCCATATGATTTTATTTTTGCATTAAAATAAGGTTTCTTCCCTTGAAAATGGCCTAAGGTCTGAAACGTTGAATGTGAAATGTGAAAGGAATAAAGTAAGACTATTTTTATTATTACAAATATATCAATCTGTTTATACTTTAAATAAAACTATTATTAATTTATTTTTTTACTTTCAGGTTTTTCTGATTCTGTTTCTGATTATGTAAGTACTGGAAAACAACATAATAACAGTTTATTATATTCTGTGGTAGTAGGATGCATCTTATAGAATAAATAAAATATCAGAAGCTTAGTATATTAGTAACTTTGTCACGAAACTCATTATTTTAATATGTTTTCTTCTCAATTTTTCTTGCTTGAACCTTATCTTTGATAACATTGATATAAATTATCGTAATTATTTACGTTGTTTTATAAAATGATCAATGACTTCCTATCTATAATATATTTTAGGTTAGGATATATTGGAAATACCACTAATATTTATTCTTATTAATTAGTCTCTACTTATTTAGACTTAAATAATTAAAAAATATTTAATTAAAGAGTAATTTTAAACTGTAAACATTTTCTCGTAATACTTGCCATGTAATGAATATGATTTCTTTGTTGGATGTTGGATGTTATTTCATTGCTACAAATATTTCTCCATAATTTGGTCAGGTGATTCCAGTATAAGAAAAGTCAAATTACACTTTTGACCTTCAAATACAATGTTAATCTTAATTAGAATTTTAAGGTTTAAATTATTTAAAGAGAGTTTGACTTACTGAGTTGGCTACTGTTGCAGCCAAACATCTTTTAACACTAATTAATATAGAAAATATTCATTGATTAATTTTTTTTTTTAATTCATAGTATATAGCTTATTCACCTAAGGTTTTCTTTACTTTTTATTTTATTTTATCAATTTTATTTATTGTTTCAAACTTTTAGGCCAGTAGTATTCTATTCTTTTGCACAATTTTGTTATTCTAAAGGTACTTAGTCCCAGAATAAAGTTTTTTTTTCTATCTATCTATCTATATATATATATATATATATATATATATATATATATATATATATATATATATATATATATATATATATACACATATTTACAGAAGTTTCTATTTACAATTTGAGGGAGTGGATGGAAAGAAAGTGATTGAATAGGCGGGATTTAAAAGTAGGGAGAGTATTGGATCGACGGATGTTGGGAGGGATGGAGTTCCATAGGGATGAGGATCGAATAATAATAAAAGATTTATCGAAAGCAGCGGTTCGATGGGCCATTATATATAAATCTGAAGACCGGGAACTGGTATTGCGGGAGTGAACAGAGGATTTAAATTGAAGGAGCTCGGAGATGTATGAAGGACGGCGGGAGTGAATGACTTGGAAGAGGAAGGATGCCAGGAAATACTTACGGCGATAGGAAGGATAAAGCAATTTCAACTCTTCATAGAAACAGAAAACAGACGCGTCCCTTGGGATCCCGAAGATGAATCGTACAAAACAATTTATCAAACGTTTTAGTTTCACCTCGTGATCCCCAGAGACGCCTCCGTATACCGTGCAGCAATAGTCTAAGTGGGGAAATATTAAGAGGGTGACCAGGAGTCTACGGATTTCAAAAGGAAAACGGTGTCTCAGGTTATTTAAGTGTTTTAGGGCGGAAAAGGTACGTTGGGAGATATTTGATACATGTTTTTTCCAAGAAAGGGTTTGATCAAAGATTTAGGTTTTTGATGGTGGGATAAAATTTAATGGGATTATCATGTAGGAACAGGGTTGGAATGTTAGGAACAGTTTTGAGGAGGTGATTGGAGCCTATTAGGATTACCTTGATCTTTTCTGCTTTCAACTTCAGCTTGTTAGCTCCTGCTCAGTCATATATTCTATTTAAATCTTCTTGAAGATTTTTTGTGGCGGCTGATAGGTCAGAAGGGGGGAAGGACAGGTATATTTGGAAATCGTCAACATAGATGTGGTATTGGGAATGATGGATCAGGAGGGAAAGATCATTAATGTAAATAGCAAACAGAGTAGGAGACAAGGAGGAATCCTGAGGGACACCACAGGAGAGGGGAAGTGTATTTGAAGGAGGTTGATCTGGGACGACTACGTAGTGGAATCGATCGGAAAGGAAGGATTTGAACCAACGCAGGACACTGTTGGATAGAGGAAGATTTTGCAATTTGGTAAGAAGGATGTTATGTCAACTGTATCAAACACTTTAGAAAAATCTAGAAGGGTGAGGATAGTAAGGTTTTGGTTTTCAATGGAGTTTTGGAGGTCATGGTTATTTTAAGGAGGGCAGATTGCATTGAATAGCCCGGTCGAAAGCCAGATTGGAATGGATTGATAGAGAACGTTCTTCTAGAAAGTTGGAAAGTTGATTTTGTACAAGGCGTTCCAGTGGTTTTGAGAGTTTGGAAAGAAGAGAAATAGGACGGAAGTCGTACAGTGAGAAAGGGTTAGAAGTTTTATTCAAAGGTCGGACTAGTGCAGTTTTCCAGGAAGAGGCGAATATGGAATTTTGCAATGAAAAGTTGTAGATGTGATAAAGTACTGGAATAAGGATAGGAAGGCAGGATTTTATAAGTTTTACTGGAATATTGTCAGGACCATAATCATTGGTGTGGGATTTTAGGGTAGTGGAGAATACTTCGTCGTAGGACACATGGGAAAAAAAGAAATTTTCAGGATTGAAATTGTGGTGTTCAATATCATGACTAGGAAAAGGATTGGAAGCAAATGATAAGAAATTGTCATTAAGATCATCTGCAGTCACAGGGAGAGAAATGAGGTTATTGGAATCTGATTGGAATAGATTACGAAGTATTTTCCATTTTGATTTGGATTCTGGAGCATTGAAAAGGACATTATGAAAGAAGTTGGATTTAGAAAGTCGGATTGTGGATTGGATTGCATTGCGAAGTTGTTTGAAAGACGCCTAATCAGCAGGTAAACGGGTTTGACAGTATTTGCGCCTTGCTGCATTACTTCTCTTTATCATTCCCCTTATTTCAGGAGTCAGCCAAGGAGCAGTGGGATGACGTAAGATTCTGGTTTTCAGAGGAGCATGGATATCTAATATGGATTGTAGGTTTGAGGTAAGGGTGGATATCATAGAGTCAATGGAGGTATAGGAAAATATGGTATCCCATTGGACAGAATCAAGGTCAGGTTGGAGGGATTCATATGAAAGGAGGTTTAAATTACGATATAACACTATTTTGGGAGTAAATGATTTCACCGGTAGGTCGTACGAAATTTGGATCAGGTCGTGTGATGATAGAAAAGGTACGGGGTGTTGAGAGGAGGAAAGGATTTTAAGGGATGAGTCAGAGATGTGGAGGTCTAACCAGGTGTCAGAGAACTGCGTGTGATGAGTGGGAGAATAAGGGACAAGATAAAGATTAAGAGAAAATATTAGGTCGGTAAGGAAGTATTTTTCGGGAGATTCTGAGAGCATATTTACATTAAAATCGCCGGAGATGATAACATTGGAGTAGGTGGAAACCAGATTGACAAGGGAGGATTCAAAAAGATGGTCGAATGGTACACTAGGAGGGCGGTAGACTACAACATATAATAAAGGAGAGAAAACAGAGAAAATTTCAACTAACATATATTCAATGTGTGGGAAGTCATAAGAGGGAGACTGTAAAAGGATTTTGGTCTTAAGACTATCATGTACATATATTTAAACCACCTCCCATGCGATCTGATCTATCATGACATAGGAAAGAGTAATTGGGAAGGGAAATTTGGAAGGAAGAGATAAAGGATTTTAGCCAGGTTTCAGATATTGCTATTACGTGATAAAAATTATCTAGGAAATATTTCTGAAATTCATCAAAGTGGGCATTAAGGGATTGTGCATTGACGTGACAGGAGTTTAGGATATTAATCATAACTGAGATGTTGGGAAGGAGAGTTGTGGGGAAAAGGAGAGTAGGATATAACAATTTTTTAATGAAAAATTCTTTTAAAAAAAATTTATTTTTGACATAGCAGCAGAAAGATAAAAAATAAACTAAATGTTGATAAGAACAAATTGAAATCACACAGAAATTCGAATAAAAAATTAAATACAAGATTACTTTACGATGTAAGAAAATATAGGTATGGCTTTGATTAAAATAAATCGGAATTGTTAAATAAAATTTCAGAATATATCACTAATATGAAAATAGAAAATACAAAATAATGAAATAAAAGTATTTTGGGTGAGAACAAATAAAATTATTGCAAACTTTAGGAAACTTATATAAAAAATTTAAGTAAAAACATCTAAATCGCTAGATTTCCCTATAATTACCACCGGATATCCGTCTGACTGTCTGAACCGAACTTTCCCCCACTAAACCAAACATATTTTATTCTTGCTGTCATCTCTTTTTGTCTAGCTAACCAGTAGAGATGCGACTCGTGCTTTTCCCACCCCAACCTAGATGGCGTGTAGAGAAGTCCCTCTTCATTCTTCTCTGCTGCAGTATCTCGTCTCTAATGGTTTGCCTCGGAAATCGGGCGATAATAGGTCCTGGGGTCCCTTCCTGCTTGGGCTTGAGCCTCACTACGTGATCCAGGTCGTCTGGATTCAATTTGACGCCCAGACCCGCTCCGACACTGAGGATGGTCCCAGTCACGGTTTTGCCCGGTTTCTCTGGAATTCCTCTGATTTCTATTGTTCTTCAACTGATTTTATTGAGTAAAATTTAAGCGGCTTTCCAGATCTGATATTTTCTTCTTTAGTGTATTGTTTTCGAGGGATAATTTGTCTACATGTTTTTTCTGCTCTTCCAAAAGGGTTTCTATTTTTAGTACCCGTTCCATATTTTCAAATGACAGTTCTGACTGTTTATTGAGGGTGTCTTTATGTCCTTTAATTCTTCGATGCCTTGAAGCTTGGTTTTTATCTCTCTATCCTCCTCGGCTCCTCAGTAGTGTAATCATTGCACTATGTTCAGATGCTGGTGATGCACGCGATTGACATTCGGTACATATAGATTTTTTACTGATTTCCATTCATGCATTTAGCATGGAATAAATTTGTACATAAAATACAGGCTAATTTAGCCTTATCTTCTCGGGCTACTGATTTACCACACGTTTTGCAATTCACCATTTTAATGACAATTTCTATTAATTTAAATTATCGTAGTTGAAATAGAGAGAGCTGAATAAAAACAATAATATTAGTAGCACACCTTTTTGTTTGGGTGTAGGCTGCTGGGATTTAGGTGATGCCTGATAAGGTGTTCACACCACTCCAACTCCGACGTTTTTGTCACAGACACTTGGTTTTATTAATATTTATGAAAATATTAAGTAAGATAAAACTTAATTTCGCAATATAAAATTTTTTATAAACAGTACTAAATATCGGCGTTTTTTTTTTAACAGTAATGTCTATAATAACTATTATATTGATATATTTAGCGAGAACGCACAATTGAGGTCTTGACTGAACGAGTTATTATCTAAGACTACATATATATAGACTACAGAAAATATATATATTTTTTTTAAGCGGCGCGAGTGCACTGCCGCCATGTAGGCCTATTGTACGCCTTATTTATAGTCACTCCTGTTTAGAGTGTAAATCCAGCAGTCTCAATGAACTGTAATAAGCTTGTTGGATTGATAAACTCATTTGTCTTGGGATCCTTATCCCTATCAATGCCGACTAATCGGAATCTTAATCTAGCAAACCTATCGCACTAGCAAGTAATATGATAAGCTGTCTCATCCTTCCGGCCACAGTACCTACAAAGAGACGACTCTGTAAGCCGGAGTTGAACATATGATAATTCAGTTTACAATGCCCTGTATATGTTGCTGTAGTTTTCTTAAGTGAGCTCCTGTTCAGATTAATTAGTGAGTTACTTCAGATTCCTTCCAGAAACAGTCTAGAGTGGGTTTGTTTTTTCAAGCACCAGTTCTTTTTAGTTTCAGCACCATACATCTCTCCGATTCTGTTTGTACTAAAAAACACTGACTAATCCCACAGATGGGTTCCGGGGCTATAGGTGTCATTTGTGAGTCTAGTCTAGCCCAGTGAACCTAGTTCATTGGCCATCTCATTGTCATGTATTCCAGAGTGACTCGGCGCCAGTATTTCAGATTGGAACACTGTTGCATAATTTCCAAGTGGTATTGACCTGCCAGCCTCTGGTTCATCCCTTCTCCAAAAACCAGCACCAGATCCGCATGTCTGTTAAACGCGACTGTTAAAAAGACCCAAAAACTGCTGAAATAATTTAATTAATATTGGGAAAAAAACACTGATCAGACCCACTGAAACACGTTGGAACAGTCTCTATGACTCATTTTTTTTTCTTTTATTTTTTTATTTATTGAGTATTATAACAATCTGTCTCTTGGACATTAGTTATAGCGAGGTAGGATAACATTAACATTATATGTACAAAAAATATAAAATAAATAGAAGCAAAATAATAATCATAAGCATAATAATAATAATAAAGGCTTAGTGAACACGAAGTTTCGACGCCGACACCACCAATCGCTTATTACACACCTCCCTCCACCGTTTGCTGTCCAAACCCAGTCCCTTCTGATCGGCTTTAATGCAATCTTCCCACCTTCGCTTCGGTCTACCCCTCGGACGTTTACCATTCGGCACAGCAAATATTAACCTTTTAGGAATTCTCTCGTTACTAAGCCCAACAATTTTACAAGCCCATTTAATTCGCCACGATGAAATTATCTCAATTATATTACCCGGATATAGTTCACGCAATTCAACGTTGTGTAACCGTCTAAACTCTCCGGTTAACTCATCCTTCTTCGGTCCGAATATTCTACGCAGTACTTTATTTTCAAAAACCTTAAGACGCTGCTCATCTCTTAATGTAAGCAGCCAAGTTTCGCATCCATAAAGAACTGTAGGTGAGATAATGGTTTTATAGATTCTAATTTTTAAGTTCCGGGACAAGAGGCGCGAGCTAAGGAGTTGTATCACAGAAAAATAACAAGCATTTGCCGCCTTCAGCCTAACCTTAATCTCTTCTTCAATTTCGTTTTTTCTAGTTATCGTAGAACCTAGATACCTAAATTTCTCTACGTGTTCAAACATATTACCATCTATATCAATATCACCAGTAGTTTCGCCATATTTGCAGCTAACCATATATATTTTGTTTAAAAATATTGAAAAATTCAAGATTTTGTGAAGAAATGAAGTCAGTAAATGCGTTTTTGATCTGAGAATCATTCACTTTTAAGGTACTTGTCCAAATTTCTGAACAGATGGAAATCTACAGAAGATAAGTCTAGCGAATAAGGTGGAAAGACTTTGTGACACATCTTCTTTAGTTTCTTCACTGTCTATCCTGAAACATGAGGTCTGGGGTTTTCATAAAAGAATATAGGTCCCTTCTGATTAACCAGTGCAGATTGTTTTTTGACAAGTTTTTAATGCATTATGTCAATATCACTGCAGTACGATGTGTATGTGATGGTTTCACCTCTGGATAAAAAGGAGAAATGAATTATTCCATCCATTTTTTTTTTTTATTCTTCCCTACCTCGCCTTTTAGGCTATACAGGATTTTCCCAGGCTGAAGGCTGAGGGCAGGGAATTTAAAATCCCCTTTGTCACCGGAATGCGAACTCGTACTTTTCTTCTATCACAAATCTTGGTTATCTGGATGCGGGCAACTCACGGAGCTGTTCACACACGTTGGCTCATTCGGCCACCTCGCCCCCTTTATTCTTGCCATTGACCACAATGCAATTTTTTTTAAAACCACCGTCAAATGGTCCGTTTGTTACATCACCCTTCCTCGAATTCCATGGCTATGTTTCTTGCAGCTTGGGCTGCTGAGTGTTTATAAACTCATAAGTTTAAACTGATAAAAAAAAAAAAAATTAATTAAATTCCATGGTCATATTTAATGGCATAGAAACAATGTGCAATAAAGCAGAATGATAGTAAATATCATAAAAAGGAGAGGATTAATAACTGCTCATTATAATCTGTAAACATAAACGTAGTAAACAATAAAAGTCCACTAATCCCACTTTGAATTCCTGAAATAATAAAAAAGAACCTTTCATATGGAATAATCTAATATTTTATTCACTATTTAGTTACATGATGTTATTCCAAATTAATATTATTATTTTATTTGATTTTTTTCAGAATCCCTGTCTTCCAGACCCAACTCTTTTCTTGAGGTTTCGCGTGTTCTCAACGTTTCTTGCCTACGCCATTTTCATTGTTTCATCAACTTTTACGAACTTTGTCCACAAAGAGAGAATATCTACCATCAAACATCTTATGCTTATGACTGGGGTTTCACCAATTACTTATTGGTGTTCTGTCCTCTTATGGGATGCTATATTATATTTGATTTTTGTATTAATTTCTTGGATAACATTCCTTATATTAGATTTTGGGAGTCTGTTTGACACAGGCAGTGGCATTTGTGAGTATTATAATATGTAATATACTATTATGTATTAAGCTCTTCAAATTCTATTTTGTAAAGTAAATGATTTTTATTTGTTATTATTTTATGTTTAAAAAAATTAATTACGTTATTGGAAGAGTTCTCAACCTTTTTCTATTTGAGGGCTCTTTTATAGGTTACTGTTCAAGTGGCAGACACCTGCTTGCTTTTGTCTTCCAAGATTTTTCTTTGATTGATATTTTTATAATTTCTCTATTATAAAAAAGTTTTTAGTGACCGTGTCATATTTTATTTTACATATACAAAGCTGGTTTGACCAAAACGAAAACACTAATGGACTATAACAAAGATACCACACTTTTATTCCCAGAATTATTTCTCTCTTATTATGGTTAAAAATTGGCCACAATGCTCCATCTATAATATGGATTTTTTAAGAAATAAAAAGAGTGTTCAAACCGGAGTTTTGTTTTGTTTATTTTGTATTTATAAAAAATATACAACTGAACTACAGAGTACATATAAATTACAATTATACAATTTGAGCAACGAGTAGTTCAATTAAATGAACAGTTGAAGGAGGGAAGCTAGTCGACTGTACTACATATCATGGGTGATAAATATTCAGGACGCAGCCATAAAAAATTTTTATTTGTGCCATTTCAACCCAAACATGTGGGTCATCATCAGGGCTGAAAATTTTAAAAATACAATCAGAGATGTATTATATTATATAATGGTAAATGATAAACTACAGTGATTGATGGTACATGAATCTCAACTATTGCAATACACAATATTAAAAATAAAATATGTAAAAAAATTATACAAACTAAAAATAATATATATAATCTATTTATAAAAATATATAATATTTTCTCTTACTAACCGTGGTTCGAGCACTGAAAGCTTTCAAGCACTGGCATATTTGGTAGGTAAGTGAAAAGATCGAGGGAGGATTTCCCAGTTTTCTTTTTTTAGATAGCAAAAGGTAGGTAAACATAGTCAGAGGAGGAAGAGATACCATTTCTGTTAGTAGAATGTACATAATTTCCTGACTAAATATTTTAGATGTGTACAAGATTTGCGTTGTTTCTTATGGTTACAGAATTGTGAATATTGGCTAGTAATGAAATGAACATAAGCAGGAGGTACCAATAAATATAAATATAACATAGTTTGATTAATGGAATACAATGGTTAGCCAAATAATATTTATAATAAAGACAATTATAATGGATTGAAAAGATACGTAGGACAATATATTATACAATGTTTTAAAAACGACAATATTAATCATAATAGAAGTATGTATTATGGATATATGGATATGGATATATATTATGGATTACATATTTTTAATAGTATAAGTATAAACATATCTATGTCTGTTTATAGTCTATATTTATATTGATAATGGGCATTATATGTATGTATATATATATAAAACATAGGAGTAGTTGCTTATGTAAGTTAACAGGGAAATGGGGAAAATGAAAAACAAAATTTTAATGATCATAGACTATTGTTTTAGGATGCGGAAATATTCGAATATGTGTTGCAGATCTTTTCTTTGTTTACTTTGTGGTTTACCGGGTTATTTTTTTCCAAATTGATGAATATAGCTTAAAAAAGTAATCGTGTTTGGTGTTTGGGAATTGTGGCAAGTATGATTGGGTTTTCAAAATCAAATATGTGGTTGAGGGTTATGGCGTGTTCGGCTAGTTTCGAGGCGAAAAGATTTCTTGTGGCGATGCTGTATTTGTGTTGATATATTCGTTTTTTAAATAGTTTTTGGTTTCTCCTATGTAAGAAGAATTGCAGTTTGGGCTAGGGCATGTGATATGGTATACAATATTGGATTGTTGTAGGAGCGGAACTGGATCTTTGAGTTTTGTGTATAGATTTCTTAATTTACTGTTATTTTTGAAAACTATTTGTAGATGGGAGAATTTGGTAGTTAAAGCTTTTTTTTATTTTTTGACATAGGACTAGAATATATGGTGTATCGTGGTGGGAGATTGAAAGCAGTTGTGGGAGACTGGTGAAGACGAGGTTTGGATTGATTTTTAATTAGGTTTATTATAATGTGATCGGGAAAGGCGTTGGATTTCATTAACTTTCCATCTTCTAAACTCAGTCAATTCCTTTTCCCTGTCGTCCAGTCTCTCAGTCAAAATAATCCATATGATATTAAAAATTCCTTCCACCTATTTGATCAACTAAAATCCCTGAACATACCACCACATTTCATCTTAGCCTCCCTTGATGCTGAAAATGCGTGCTCTCCGAATAATTGAAGAAAATTGGTCTACCATAGAACCACACACTTACCTTAATCAATCCTCATTCCTTCAGTCCCTCTCTCTATGTTGTAACTCTCTCTACCTATGTGTTCAAAACAATTTTTTTCATCGAACTTCCGGCTTGGCGATGGGTAATTGCCTTGCATCAGACCTCTCCAGTATTGTCCTAAACAACCTGATTGATTATATACTACCCAAATTTCCCAATGTAATTTTTTTCTTTAAAAAATATGTTGACAATCTTTTATTAATCCTCAACTCCCATGCTATTCCTAACATACTTTCTTCATTCAACACATACCACCCTCGACTCCGTTTTACCATTGAAATAGAATCAAATAATTCCCTCTCATTTCTTGTTCTCCTCATTTCCAGAAATAATGATAATACCTTATCCACCAATTGGTACACCAAACCTACCTACCTCGGCTGTCTCCTAAACTATTTTTCCCAACACTCTTATCACCAAAAAATCAGTGTAACTAAAAACCTGATACACCGCAGTCTAACATTAACTGACCCACAATTCTATGACAATAACCTAACCAAATTTCACAAGATCCTGACATCCAACGCCTTTTCTGATCACATTATAAAAAACCTAATTAAAAATGAATCTAAACCTCATCTTCACCAGTCTCCCACAAACTGCTCGCTATTTCCCACCACGTTTATCTTGGAGTTCCTTTTCTATCATCAGCAAAGTTTTCAAAAACGGCAGAACACTTTGTCCATTTAACGGTAGCATGCACAGAGTGAAAGAGATCCTACGATGGGGCAAAAGTGACACTTGGCAAACAAAACTAACCCTCTTTGATGTCATTGTTTCTTCAACTCATCTTTATGCGGCTTAGATTTGGAGTTTAAGTCACTTGGAAGTTTTAGAAACCGTGCAAACCAAATTTCTAAAATCATTATATTTTTTGCCTAAGACTACACCTAATTACATAGTACGCCTAGAAACAGGTCGCCTCCCACTTTCTGCAATAGTCTTTAAGAAACTTCTCAATTTTTCCATAAAAATCCTCTCAATACCTGAACATAGACTAGCACGGCAATGCTTTAACAGATTATGAACCTTAGGTCTCATAAAACAAGATTTCAAATCAAATTGGATTTCACAACTCAAGAGAACAGTATCCACGAATAATGCACTAGGTTTTTTCACAGATCTGTCAATGAAAATAAAATAATTGCAAGTAAAAGGGCAAATTGAAAAACTTCAAAATATTTTATTATCAATTGATATAAGCCCGGCAATGGAATCCAGCCACAACATCGTCTATACAAACTGGTGGGCCCAGAAGGTGGATTCATGGTGCAAGTTGCACCATCGAAATTTTTGAGAGTGGTATATTTTGACAGGTTTTTGAATTTTTTAGGGAGGCAAAATTCTACGGGGTTATGAATTTTCGGACCTAGAGACAAACGGAAAGCATGGAACAGACTGTAGCAAGTATAATTATATATGATTTATGGCTTTTCTAATTCTGTCTTAGCTTGCTTTTTAAGAAAAGGTGACTAATAAAATATCTTGGGAGGAGGGGGGAGGTAGGTTCTTGCGCCATTGACCTTAGTTAGGGAAATAGACGCCTCTGGGTAGAAACATCTGCAATTTCATTTATCCGCAACCAGAAGAATATTTGTTACACAGTTTAAATATCCACAAACACAGAGCAATAAGCCAACTACGTCGTAAGCACTGCATATCTACAAATTACTTTGCATAATAAACGCATGATTTTGACAACCAGCCAACTCTGTCGGAAACCCATCGATGATACTCTGAACCATCTTCTCCTGCACTACTCCTCTTGTAAGTCATACAGAGAACAATTTTTAAAGAATTATATATCTAAAAATGATGATCTCTCTTCACTAGAAGACATTTTAAAATATAACAGTATAAATAAAATGAACCATTTATTTCTGTTCCTGACATCAATCTTCAACAACTCCGAATAACTCAAAAAGTATACATTTCTTTGTCGATATTGTGTTGAGATGTTTCAAAGGTATTTAAATTTCCTAAAAAATGAAATAAGTTTCAGCGAAATCAAAGCACTATTAGTAGATATATCACGATTTTAAAATATTCTTGGTTTATTATTTTCAACAATGAACCATTGTGATCGACCAACAAATTAAAAAACTTAATCCCCTCCCAAAATTTGAGGTTTCACGTTTCAGGATACGCAGAATTCGAAAAACGAATGAAAATGTTTTTGTCTGTCCGTCTTCCGCCGTACGCCGTCCGCTCATTTTCTCCGAAACTATTGGAGCGATTTTTTTCAAATTTGGATATAAAATCAGAGGTCACCCGAGGATGATCCTCCTTTATCGACATTACTATCCGCCTTTTACTTTCAAACATCTAAAGGAATGTACCAATTTCAATGAAACTTCACTAAAGTCATTTTCTCGACGCCCTTTAAATTTATCTATGTAACATACTTCAACGGAAAGAAGATGGAAAAAAGTTGCGAGGGATGGTAAAATTAAATTCCGAATAACTCAAAAAGTATAGTTGAGTATACTTTTTTGTTGATATTGTATATGTTTTTTTTTTTTTAATTACGGAAAATACGATAACTGACCCATACATCGAAAAATTAAAAATAATTAAATAAATAAAAAAAAGTTGCGTTTGAAATAGATAAAGTTGAATTTGACTAGTAAAAAGTTTAATTTGACTTGGAAAAGATTGAA